TCCATTAAATTTGAATGCTCAGTTTTAAACACTTCGGACCTAATTTTTCAGAGTCCTTAGCTCTTTATAACTTCAAAGCACAACTCTCATTGACTTCAGTTGCAGCTTTGAGAGCTCAGCACTTCTGTAAATCAGACCCCAAGGTCTCAAGTCAGGCAACCAGAAAATGAACAACCACCTGTGAAAAGTTTAGTTGATGTGATTTGCCTTGCATGCTAAAGAAACCCTGTATCAAAGGCAGGGATAATATCCAATTCTACAGGACAGCATTCAACTGCCTTAACCATGAGATCATTCTTTGTCTTCTCACAATCTCCTACCTCATTCACTACACACCACCTGACTTCTGCAAAAAATCAGGCAGTGGTCCTACATGCAACAGTCTCCTTTTCCACAAATCCCTGAGTAGGGATCCCTAGACTAAGTTCATCCTGTGCACGGAATGAGGCAGAGATCCTGAGGAAGAAGTATTATGTAATCACGTAATCACTGTCCCAGGTGAAGGGGGAGTAGCTGCCCTTAGTGGAAGAGTTTAAGTATCTAAGGGTCTTGTTCATGAGTGATGGCCAGTGGGAGCAGGAGATTGACTGGCAGATTGGTGAGGTGGCGACAGTGATGCGGGCTCTGTGCTGATCTGTGGTGGTGAAGTGGGAGCAGAGCTCTTGGATGAATCCCTTGGTTTACGGGTCACTCTACATCACCATCCTCACCAATGGTCATGAACTTTGGGTAGTGACCGAAAAGACGAAATCACAGGTACAAGTGGTGGAAATGAGGTTTCTCCGCAGGGTGGCTGGGCTTACTCTCCGAGACAGAGTGAGGAGCTCGGCTATATGGGAGGGCCTGGGAGAAGAACAACCATTCCTCCGGATCGAGAGGTGCCAGTTGAGGTGGTTCAGGCATGTGATAAGGATGCCCCCTGGGAAGTTTCTGTTGGAACTCTACTGAGCACGTCCCACTGGGCAGAGGCCCCGAGGCTGACCCAGAACATGCTGGAAGGATTCTGTCTCCTGGCTGGCCTGGGAACGCTGGAAAATCCCCCAGGAGGAGCCAGAATCTGTTGTGGAGGAAAAGGGGGTCTGGTCCTCCCTACTCTCCATGTTGCTGCCGCAACCCACACAAGGAAAAACAGCATAAAGGAAAAGTAGTAGTAGTAATAATTAAAGACTATATCATATGCATAAGGGGGTGAATTATGGTTACACAGGCAACCTTAATTCTGGCATTTCCTAACTTTTGAGTGCTTATATTTACAACCTTAGCAATATTCTTTTAGCATAGTTTATGTGAACGTAACTTCACAGATTTGAAAAAAAAAAAAAAAGTATAGTGAAAAGACAGAAATTGACAACATATTGATGCCCCCAAGATTCATCAGCAGAGTTAGAACCTTTAGATCTACCACAGAGACCTCTCCACTTGAGCCAACGGAGTAAATAATAGCAAGCATAGGATGTCATCCACTATGCAAACCAGGATTAGAGAGGGATGAAATACACACACACACACACACACTTTGCCAGTGGTCCCATTCCCTCCAAGACTGACCCCTTTTGGTCAGTCACCTCCAACCTGCCTCTTTCCTGTATCTTTCCCACCCCTGGCTCCTTGCCCTATTCTCCCACTCTCCACTCCTCAGGCTTCTCAGATCAATCCCAGTCTCAGTCCCCACACCCTATTCCAGTCTTTTTTTTTTTGCTTTCCTAGGCAGTCCCAGTTCCCCACTCTTGGCTCTTCCTCCTATCTGTCCATCCCCTCATCCACCACTGGCTCCCCTGGGGTTCTCATATAGTCAGTGTCCATCCTCACCCCCTTCCTAGCTCCAAAGCCCAGTTTCTCCGCTTCTTGGCTCCTGGTCCTAATCTCTTTGCCCCACCAGTCCCAATTCTCTTCCCACACCTCAGCTCCTTGTCAGATCTGTCTCCCTTCCTTCTGCCCCTTCTACCTTAGTTTCTAGTCTCAGCCTCCTTGTCCAGCCATTATCAGTCTCCCTGCTCCCCCAGCTCCTTGTTCTATCTCAGTGTTCCCTCCAACCAACTGATCTGGCTGGCTTTTGTCCCCTCTGCATTCAGATCAGATGGCTTACTCCTCCACACTGCATGGGTGCCAGAAGGGGGTCACTGAGCACACAGGATAGACCGCCTCACTGCCCTCGGGTCCATTATCTGGCCCCACCCTTGCCTGGAGCAGCTGGGAGCAGCCATTAAAGGGAAAGTCAAGCTTTGTCACTGTAGCCCTGGGCTGCAGTGTGATCAGTCACGCTGTGGAGATGGGCCATGCGCAATCTGGGCAGCACAAGGAGCAGTGACGGACCAAAACATGGAATCTACAGAGAAGTTACCTGCTAAAATCAAAATCTCTACCGAGCATTCAAAAAGTGTGTTTTTTCAAAGGCTTATAACTTGGCCAGGTTTTCAAAGGGATGGCAAAATGCATATCCCTCACACAAAGGATCCCCGCTGCTTCGTCCTGCTCCCACCCAGCCAAATTTCAAGTCCCTGCTCTGAAGGACGGGGTCAGTGGAGCTATTCAAAGAAAAGGTCAACAGAATTTTTTTAATATAGGCAAAATAATGTATTGTCCCCCTAGCCTCATTATCCAAAACATCTGAACCATTTTGGCTGAAACCAACAAATAAATAAATATATAGCTCAGACTGAGAAAGACATCTAGCATGGAAAATTTCAGCCCAAGTAGTGTAAGTCTGGCAAAGTTATAATAAATTGAAAACAGGGTCTTATAATGGGAAGTGTCAGGCAATCTTAACAGGCAGCACTACCTGCCCCACCTATAATAAAATCTGTCTGATCTTCTAGGTCTCAGTCCAGGACCATTGAAGTCAACAGGAGTTTTAACACTGACTTCAGTAGTATTAGGTTCAGGCCCCTAACTGCACATAATATTTTGCTGTTTGGAAGCTGTGCGAGGGTTTTAAAGACCTAACATTCACTCAGATGCAAAGCTCAAAACACAATGATTCCTACCACTGCTTAAAATCAGACTTAAAAATGAAAGGAAACACATGATTGCAAACCAAACAATTAAGACTTCACTCCTGCTATTTTATACTTGGTAATTACTTGAAAATGTAATTAATAAAATAGTTTTGACATAGCCTAGCGAGAAGGCAGAAAGCAGCGGTGAAGACTGAAGTTTTTAAAGAAATTCTACAGCAGAAGAGGAATTAACAAGGTGACTGAGCTTAAAGCACCCGCAAAAAACTTAAGTTTTCCATTTTAAAAGAATGGGGGAGAAGATCTACTTGGCTGTCTATTTTGTGACAATGCAGTTTCTCTGTATGGATTGATACAACAAAATGTCAGATTCACACATGATTCAAAACATATATCCAAAAAACAAGCCTTCCCAGAGCAGCCTTTTTTAAAAAAACAAAAAAACAAAAACCACATATCTCCTGGCTCATAAGTCAAGAAGTCACTGTGGAGAACATACAGAGATCAGCAAAGCAAGAGTGCTCTAGAGAAATTCTTGAAGAAAATTCCATCACAGCTTCAGATAATACACTAACAGACATATGGCTGCCTTCAATAAACAATAATGGACGAGAAATGAGACAAAGCAGGAGCAATATCATGGCTTCAGTGTCAGTGATAAACAAGCATTAAAGCACTGAAGCAGAGAACAGTTATGTCTGAACTTTTAAATCCAATGAAGTGAGCTGTAGCTCACGAAAGCTTATGCTCAAATAAATTTGTTAGTCTCTAAGGTGCCACAAGTACTTCTTTTCTTTTTGCGGATACAGACTAACACGGCTGCTACTCTGAAACCTCTCTCATCAGAGTTACCTAAAGAACTATTAGTTGATCAGATTCACAAAATCCTACTTTAAAAGTAATTATTGTTTTTTTCTCCCTAATGTAAGCAATTTAACTTAGACTAAAATCTTAGACATTAATATTTAGGTTCACAACTACTTCTCAGGTTGTTTCCCCCACCCCCACAAAACCATACAAGAGAAAGGTTTGAAATTGCCTTCAAATCACTTTCTTTGTTTTTGGATCTTCCTAGAGAGGTGACTAATCCTTCACAGACCAGAACAGAGTGTTAAATTGGAACCCTATCATCTTCATTTTAAGTTAACCTCATGTCATGGGAAAGAAGGGAAACTTTTAAAACTAAGACATTATTAAGTCACTGTGTAAGGCATAAATTTTTATGTGTGTATGTGCTACCTGTCATGTGAATACAGTATTCTGAATTATTGTTTGTCTTGAAACAGCCAAGGTCTTTTCACTATATTAAACAGTTCCTTTGTGTGTTACTATATATTTTCCATTACTTTAGTATATTCATAATTGGTCTTCTATTTTATACCTCTGACTGTTTTTAGGCCTCGCAGTTACTTGATGTAGTCAATTTAAAAGACATTTGTGCATGAGGATGTCTAGTTAATATTTGCCAGTGAAGTACTTTGGCCTGACGAGAGTTTTCGTCTCTTAAACTTTTAAGTACGAACTTTGTTGTTGCTTACTAAGTACCATGTTTAGCAAATGGAAATTAAAATGGAAAAGAAAGCAGCTACCTGTTTTTAGATTGCTGCCTGAAAGTCAGAAATTAAGGACAACACTCATTTGTAATAGTAAGCAAACACCACTTCTACAGCAAGCTTGAAAGGGAATTACTATAGTCTAAAACACAAAAATTGATCAATTTTTGCATATTTTGCCAATTTTTCATAAACTCGCTGGCACATTGATCAACGGACTCATCATCCAAAATAATTCCAGCCAATCTTGCTTACATCCGTTTGCCTTATCAATGAGAGCACATTGTTAGCACCATCCGCGGTTGTCTAAGTAGGGACAGTAAGAAAAAAACAAAACAAAAACAAAGGACAATTCCTATACAAAAATAAAAACTTGCAGCAGGAGTCTGTGCATTAAATAAAGCTTTGCAACACTTCCAGTTAGGTGAAACAAGAAAATATGGCAACAGGAAGAAAAAGAAAAATTCCCCCCTCCCACAACCACCCAACTCACTCTTGTAGTGTTTCCACTCCTTTTTCTTTATACTGCAGTTCTTCCTTCATATGTGCCAACTCTCGTTTTAGTCTAGAAAGCTTAAAACAAAATATTTTTTAAGCAAAAATACATTATGGCAGCAAATCACTGAGTAACTATTATTATTCTTTCAAATAATTCTTCTTCAAATAATTGTTCTTTCAAGAATTTAAAATTACTGTGCATTGTTCAAAGACTAGTATTTTCAAAGTGAAAAGTGATAATCTGTTTGGTTTTTTAATCTACAGAAAAACAAAATCAACAAATGCTTTATAGAAATATTAATAAAAACCAACCCAACAATGCTCACAAAGGAACAACACTGCCAAATGTAAAAGGCAGCTGCTTCTTTGTATAATCTTCTACTATGCTATCTGCTATCACTTGTTCTGACAGCCAACAAGTCTCTGTCTACATGTCATTTCCCATCTTCCCCGGAACAGTGATTTCCCATCTAACCCTGTAGTAGACAGCCACCCAAAAACCTGCCCAACAATACTGAAAACTATACGTCAGGCAGCCGGGAAGGGGAAGAGGTTCAGCACTATGGCTTTTTCCATGGGAAGAATGTTCATTTAAAGTCACTAGAGACTGTGATGATTCATCTGCCCACTTTTATTTCTGTATTCTAAAACAGAAGTTACAAAGTGACCCTTCGGCAGCAGTAAATAGTGAAAGTTGCCTGGTGGATCATTTACGTAATGTAATAATAAGGAGCTGTTCATTATAATCTCCCCAAAATTTGGTGCATGTCTGCAGTGACATTTACGACCAGGTTTCACGATTTTAATAAAGGTGCTTCTTAATTGATGCTTATTGTAACAGATATGAAACCAGACATAATTCTGTGTATGGATGTGTTATATTTTTGGTTAAAAAGGTACATATATGTTTTTGGACAGGCTCTCCTTTGTTTATATACGCATTTCAATACATGATGCCGTCAACCTACTGCCACAGAAAAAAGGGAAAATGTGAGTTTCATAAACAGAAAAACTGAGTCGCCCAGAGATTTAGCAGATTTTCTACGATGTATCCGAAACACTGATAAGACGTATATAAATCAGTAAGTGACAAAATGATTAACATGACATCTTCCTCATGCCCCGCAAAAACAGAAATCACATCATCATCATATCAAAACAGGCAGTATATAGTGACTTCTTGGATTATCTAGTCCAACCCTATAAAATAAACTCAGCTAAAATAAGAAAATATATCACTAATATCTTCCATGTTTACATATTCAATGGTGTATAGTATATTGCACTCTTTATATTAATTCCATCTACATGAGCATGCATAACACAGAAGTTCACCCTATGCAGGGAAGTAAAAAGGTGTATTTCATGGTCACTTTATTGTTCGACTACGGGGGGGGGGGGGACAGAGATGGTAATCCATATGCAAGTAGAAAAGTCACTTATTTTCTTTAAACCTTGTTTAGACAAATTGAGTGACATTTTAACTTGCTATATTTTCTTGTTTGGTTTGCTGCATTTTCTAAACATTAGGTCTATCACATACACTATGTTGTAAATGCATGCTGACAGAATACATGCCTTTGATGGGTGGTGAACATAATTTATTTCCAGAGCTACTCCTGTGAAAAGTGGTCACTAAATCATGAAGTCATAAACAGGACCACCACCCTTCAAGGATATGTATTTTATTTATTTCATGAATCCAGCATCTGGCATGCTAAGTCCCATTTTATCCATTAATAAAAGGAATATGCAATTTAGATATATGGTGGGCCTTAAGTTCTAAGTTGTTTTATTAATTGTGGACCTCTAACTAGCTTCTATTAAATGTGTAGAATTTTACTGTTCGTTAGGAACACTGACAGATTTGGAAACAAAAATATAACTTTCCCCTCTACCACTGTAACTACTTCAGACAAGACAATATTCAAAATATGGTTCTAACCTAAAAATGGTTAAGTAAAAATGGTACTTTCTTATACAACAGATGTGGTCCGTATGTGTTCAGAGTTATATATGCTTACCATAGTATGTGATGGAGTGGTGGGCAGTAGGGGGAGAGGGTTTATTTGTCACTTTTTATTCTTTTATAGATGCAGCCCTGGGAAAACGATCTATTCTGGATTGTGCATCAACTGAACTGATCACTGAGTTCTCAACACAGAGCCACATCCTGACCTCAGTTACATCTATAGAACCCTATGGAACACAATAGCAAAATCTAAAGACAATTGGTTTTGACAAGTGTTGCTGGGGACAGAATTTGGCTTGCAGCATATTTGCTACTAGTGGTAATGCTAGAGACAGAAAGGAAATTATTTTTAAAATACAAGTTGAGTTTGTGTGTCTGTCATTCAGAAAAAAAATTCTTTACACTTATAAACAGAAAAAAAAAATATTTGGAGTCACTGAGACATAGTAAATATGGAACCACACTGCTATTTTTATTAAATAATTGTTCAAGAGTAGAAGGGCACTTTAAACATGTGCAGTTTTAAAAAGTATACATACACAACTTCTAAGTCTAATGGTGGGTGCGTGGGTACAGCATTGTTTTAATCACATAACATCAAAAAAGATTACTCACTCTGTCACGTCGGCTTGCTATTTCTGCTTTAATCTGATATGGGTCATACTTGGTATTAGTTGAAAATCCAGAGAATGCTAAACAAATGGAAAACAATGGTATTTTATAATAAATTTTTCACGTTTCCAATGTGTTAAATGATCGTGTGTGTGGGTTGTATGCCATGTAAATTGTACCAATAGGCTACCCAGTCCAAACATGTTTCTAAAACTTCAAATCCCCAACTGAGCAAATCACTTAAGCATGTGCTTAACTGTTTTGTGGGATCAGGGCCAAAAAAAGTACATACTTGTCAAAGTGTGGCTACACGTAATTCAGGGTTCCCAAAGTTGAGTCATTCTATTTCAAAGATGGAACAAGCTTATTTGTCTACAACTTCCAGACGTCTTTGTAGGATATGACAATCATTTGTGGCAAGACTTGCTCAGTGTAATTATTTTTGAGTATAACACAGAAATGTTTGTAGCCAAAATGATTTCTTCTAAACAGTAGTTGACAGTACGTTTAATGGATTTTTCCATTTATTTTTCTTGCAGTTAAGGAACTTTAATAAAAATTTAACAAATTTAATGTTCCTATGGTAACACAGTTTTTATTTACAACCTCCTCAACATGATTACAGATAGAAGTCATTTTTGGCTGTTAGTTAAGTGTATGGTATTTATATGCAATAAATATAAGAATTTATTTAGCTGGACAAAATTTGGACTGAACCATCTAATAGAATGTGAATCAATCTGGTACCAAATACATATAAAGGAAGTAAAATCACATCATCACAAATTTCAATTTAACAAAGCCCTTGTAAGAACAGAAAACTAGGAGAAATTGTTCCACATCAGTTTCCAGCTCAACCACCCCAGACTGATGAAATTCTGTCTGCTTGCAACTAAGTGCATTCAGTAACCACATCAAGTTTACAGTTCAAAAATGTCCTCACTCTCAGAGTTACAACCCCTCAACAGTGAGTGTTTTAATAATCTCATCACAACTTCTCTTAAGACAGTTATTTAAAGACACCTTTGTGTTTTCTCTTTTGGTAGACTGAGGTTTTCCAAGATGCAACATCATTTCATACACGAACATATTATTTCTTTTATAACGGTACAAGATTTCAAAAGTCAATCTGGGCTGAATTCTAACTGGGAAGTTATCTTGTGTGTACCTAAAGTTATTCATTATCTATCCTGAATTGCTATATAACAGCACTGTCTGTTGATTAAAAGCTGCTACCTTCCATTCCAGTGTAACTGTCAGGATCATCTCCGGAGCCTTTTTTAAAAATTGTCAATGCATTAACTACCTTCCAGTTATTTGCCACACGGGCTTGTCTCAGTGTTTATTATTGTTCAATGTATCAATTTGTTCCAAAACCTCCCTTTATTGACAGTTCCTCAGATTTGGGACAGTTCCTCAGATTTGTTGCCCAAAAAGGATTGCTCTGATGTGGGTATCTCCCCCACATCCTCTCCAGTGAAGACAGATGCAAAGAATTAATTTAGTTTCTTTGCAATAGCCTTGTCTTTCTTGACTGCTCCCTTCACACCTTGGTGGACTATTGGCCTCCATCCCGGTTTTGCAGGCTTCTGATGTACTTAAATTCTTACTGTTAGTTTTGCATCTTTAGCAAGTTGCTTCCCAAATTCTTTCATGGCCTGCCTTATTATATTTTCACACTTAACCTTCCAGAGATCATGCACCTTCTCATTTCCTTATTAGGATTTGACTTCCAAATTTTAAAGATGCCTTTTTGCCTGTTACAGCCTCCATTACTCTGCTGTTTAGCCATAGTGGCATTCTTTTGGTGGTCTTCTTGTCTTTTCTGATTTGGGGCACACATTTAATCTGAACCTCTATTATGCTGCTTGCAGGCATTTAATCCTTCTGACAGCTCCTTTTAATTTCTATCTAACAAGCATCCTCATTCTTGTGTAGTTCCCCTTTTTAAAGTTAAATGTTACTGCAGTGGGATTTTTTGGTATTATCCCCACACAAGGATGTGACATACAATGTCTCTTCATACTCTAGGAAAAAGAGAACTTAATGTGTGCAGTTTAATGCAATACCGAAGGGGAACATAATGTCAAGTAACTGTTTAAAAAAATTGAGAGTTGGGAAAATTATTTTCCATCACCATCCCAAGCATAAATGAGTAATAATGGCCTTAAATTATAACAAGAAATGTTTAATTTTAATGCCCCCTCATTCATTCCATCATGTGGATCTGACCAGAATGCCTGTTTTGAGATTAGAAAGGATTTTTTTTCCTTTGGGGCCAAATTAGCAAGGTGTCTGGGGAGGGAGGTCTGGGTTTTGCCATGGAAGTCCTGTTGGTTAAAAGGAATAGTTAATGTTAAGAAGTAATACAGGAATATCTAATTCGTAGCAATTAGCAGCCAGTGTCTAATGTGGATAAAAAGGCTAAAAGGGCCAGCTCCCAGAAGTAAATGTGGTTAAGAGTCCCAGAAAATGGCTGGCGGACCTGTTAGAGTGTACAGAAAAGGGGAGACCTGAAGCCCTTGCAGACTGAGGTAGTAAAAGGATTTTGAAGTGGGCTAAGTCCAAGAGGTTAGGTTGGAGACTGCAAAATCTAATTTGCTGGTTTTATTGTGTGAAGCCATTTAGCCCAGCACTGGGCCCAATAAAATGCCTGGTATTTCAGGAGAGTCCCTCTCTACCCATTGTTACTGAAGTTGTGGCCTGACACTTTATAAGACAGCTCAGCATTTCATTCTGCTGTGTGTCTTGATCAATTGTGGAAAGAACTTTATAATACCGAATAAACCATGCAGTAACTTGCCAAAAGACGTCGTGCAATTGCTATCAATACATGAACTGAAATTCTCTAATCCAGAATTTCATAAACTTTTTCATAGTGTTGATCACAATTTAAGAGTGAAAGAGTTTCATGGACACCTCCACTTCCACCTGCAAACATACAGATCTCACCTTCCCCTGCTCATGAACACATAGCCTTGATGAATTTACAGCATATGTATACATAGAAAGGTCTATGTATTTTTAAACTGTCTTTTAATCCGATTTGACAGATGGAAACAAGAAGGATTATATGATCATCGTTCGACAAACCAGCTCTCCACAGATCCAGAACTGCTCTAACTGGTCAGAGACCAATACTTAGAAATGTTTACTGATACTGAAAACATTTTTACTGGTCTAAAATGTTTCTAGATCTTAAAGCACAAGTGAAACAGTTTATTACAAATATTTTTCCAGTACTTTGTTAGGCTTCTGATTCTGGGGAATGCCAGCAACACATCTCAGTAGTTCCAGAAACTTAAAAATTAGTTAGTATTTGTACCTTTCCTATGGATACTCTCCCAGCAAAGTCTGAGTAATTGTTTGTGTCCAATTCTGCTGCTGTTATACGCAGTTTACCTTTTCTGGGTAGAAGAAGAACTACAACAGTCCAATCACATAAAACAGTAAAATAATAATAATAAAAAAATCAGACCTTATTTCCCCAATACTTTCTCCACTTATATAAAAACTGCCCTATGCAAAATGATAGGAAATAGGTTATCAAAATTAGTGGAACTAAAGTCTTGTGGAACTACTAAAAGTCTTGAAAAATAAAGAAAAATATTTATAAATTGGATGACTTTCCTATTTTAAAATTACATCAAATTATATTAATTTGCTTTTTTTCCCCATTCCAATTATGACATTATTTTAGCAGCTAATCTTGCATGCCAAAAGAGCTGAGATATAAATGCTTCATAAAGCACCAGTTTCAGCCTGTTATAGTTTTTGCAATACCAGCAACTAAAACTATGTTAGACTATAAGTGGGAAGAAAGCAAGATGGCAATCTAAGTAGTATGACTTTGGTATCCAGTACCTCAGAAACCAAAAGGGCCAAAAACAAAAGCTATTTCTCAGCTTTCCAACAGTACATACCACTAGTGGTTTGATAGACTTTGCCACTGATCCCTTGGCCCAACAAAGTTTTTTTGGCCATTGTTACAGGAGTAAACATTATTAGATCAGGGTAATTTTCAGAGAGTTGGATTCACACCAAGAATAGATAAAAATTTAATAAGGATGTTATTGAAATCTATTAATATTATTCTGGGACAACAGGGAGGGAAGGACAAAGACTCAAAAGTTCCTTGCAACTCCAATATCTAAAGGAACTTAGTTTTATTTATCAGCTCACTGATTATTTCAACAAAAACAAATTCTCAAGTAGTTGTTGCAGGAAACAGCAAAGAAAAATGTAAGATGGTTTTTGCACCGCTCTGAAAAAACATTTTTGATTTTTAAACAAACATTAACCCTACAGTGATAGATTTTTTAAAATATTCTGAAACCAGAGGGCATACCATGTAAAAATTATTCACAAATTATAGGTGTTAGGAGGGAACTAAAATAGTGAAGCTGGAAAGAAGGACAGCCAAATATAGCTTTTACTTTAGAGGAAAAGAGACATATGCATTTGAGAAAACAGTCAAACATGAATTCATTTACTTTGCATTTGTCATAACTGCTACTGCCACGATAATTATTAAAGATTATTATTAAAGATAATTATTAAAGATAAATACTTTTTAAACAGGATTTTTTGTTTCGAGTCTATTTTCACTACTTGATCCCGCACTTAAATTTATAATGCTGCTATTGTTAATATCATGTTTATTACCATGTTAACATATGACTATGATGTCACAAAATGTTACAATTAAAACTTAAGAAAGAGAAGATCATAGAATATCATGGTTGGAAGGGACCTCAGGAGATCATCTAGTCCAACCCCCTGCTCAAAGCAGGACCAATCCCTAACTAAATCATCCCAGCCAGGGCTTTGTCAAGCCTGACCTTAAAAACTTCTAAGGAAGGGGATTCCACCACCTCCCTAGGTAACACATTCCAGTGTTTCACCACCCTCCTAGAGAAAAGTTTTTCCTAATATCCAACCTAAACCTCCCCCTACTGCAACTTGAGACCATTACTCCTTCTTCTGTCATCTGCTACCACTGAGAACAGTCTAGATCCATCCTCTTTGGAACCCCCTTTCAGGTAGTTGAAAGCAGCTATCATATCCCCCCTAATTCTTC